ATCAAGGTGCCATGGAAAGCACTACATTTGACAACAGAAAGTTGATTTATGTCGCTATTAATGGTATATCTTCTTTACCCGCCATATTCACCAACATCATTGTTTTTATTTCAATTTGGAAGACGCCGAGACTTCACACACCTTCCTTCGTCCTGATCTTTAACCTTACTGTATCAGACTTTGGAGTGGGACTAATTGTACAGCCAATTTTCATAGCGTTTGTCGTTTTCGACTATAATCCTGTGTTAAGCAAAGCTTTCCAAGTTTGTTGCATGTATTTTGTCGGTGCTTCGACAATCTGCATGGCCGCTATCGCTGTTGATCGATGTCTCGCTGTAATGCTTCACATGAGATACCAAGCGATAGTTACAATGCCAAGAGTCTTTAATCTAACTCTATTCTCTTGGACCATGAACACTCTTTTTCTGGTTTTGTTTGGTCTCATTGACTGGGAAACGTTTAATTATATATCATCTTGCACGGTTCCTTTCTGTGTTATCGTAGTAGCTGTTTGTTATTACAAAATCTTTCGTATTATTCGCAAACATCGTCGACAAATCAWGGACCAAAGGCAAGCAACTCTTGCRCCTGCGGTAAAACATAGAAAATCTCTGAGAAACATGTTTTATTTRCATGGATTTTATACTMTTTCATTTGTACCTTTAGTGGTGAAYTTCTGCCTTAGTTTAATTCAAGTTCATTATTCGTTTAAKTCSTTTGATGCTGCAGTAACATTYGCCTTGTTGAACTCCACGATCAACCCSTACTTATATTTCTGGCGAATGAAAGAACTGCGAAGTGCAGTCGTTAAGATTTTGAAGGAATTTATGATATGTTCAGACTGCTTATCTAATGAAGACGTGTCCTCGTGACCACATTCATGATTCATCCATAGTTATTTAGCGCCGTTTACACGAGCAATTTTTCCTTGACAAGGAAAAATTGCTCGTGTAAATGGGGTAAAATCGCCAATTTTTCCTTGTCAAGGAAAAGCCAACATGTTTGCTTTTCCTTGAAAAGGAAAAATTGTCAAGGACGAAATTTGCTCGTGTAAATGGACAAGAAGGAAAATGTGGTAAGGAAAAATTGTCAAGTAAAACTTGTTGACCATTCACACGGGCAATTTTTCCTTGTCAAGGAAAACTTGTTCTTCGTTTGCACGAGCAAAGAAATATTGTCAAGGAGGAATTGTCAAGGAAAACTTGTTGACCATTTACACGGACAATTTTTCCTTGTCAAGAAGCTTGTCAAGGAAAAATTGCTCGTGTAAACAGCGCTTTAGAGTTACTAACATCGGCCACAATTATGTTGATGAACTTRTATGGGTAAATKGGATTATATAAAGGAGAACGTASCTGGWCATGAAGASCTTTCGACAGAGTCTACTCTRTTCTGYTAAGGGTCTCGAAAAWTTGAWAATTTGCYAATTAGTTGTGATYTGCAGAGAAAGAATGGAAACCATGAAAAACTTTAAAAGAGACCTATTCACTGAAGTGTTTCTACAGACTTTCCATTCTAGGGCAGCTGYTCTATGCATTTATTTAACGGTAAAACATGGAAGATCTCTGAATAACATGTTCTATTTACGTGGGTTTTATGTTATCTCSTTAAAACCTTTGCAGGCCCGTAGGCTGCCTTTATACCAATGGGGGGATTCGTTTCTCTCTTTAAATCATCGAATCACATTCTTTGTAAAACCCGCACTTGTGCTTTTAGCGAATAACAGAACTGCGAARCATGCAGCCATCAAAATTTTTAAAAACTGCGTGGTGCCTWTTGTGTTGATCTGAATAGTGTTTGTATATTTAAGAAATATAAAACGGCGCGCGTGTCTCTGTCCTNTTTAGTGGTGATTGTTACATTTATTGTCGAATGGTATTACGTTTGGCGTTGAGCAATACATTCACTGTCGAATGGTATTACATTAAGAGATCTCATTACATTTCGAGGCAATACAAACTCTCATTTTTAAAACACGTGGTCGTCAGTTACTGCGGCATTTCCTGGATAAGTGGTCCTTTAGACCTCGAGTGCTGAACTACAATGTAGAATGCTTGACTCAAAAGAAATACAACACCATGGGATGCCAATCTATTGGTTCAGAACAAGACAGGCATTGAGATTTCTCAGCCTTTATGACACTTCATTACAAGTCGAACTGTTCCAACAGTGACTCCAGCATAGCCAGCAAGTTTAGTTGATTTAGATACGCAGAGAGTACGTTTATTCATTGCTTAACGAAATATCATATCAAGGTGCCATGGAAAGCACTACATTTGACAACAGAAAGTTGATTTATGTCGCTATTAATGGTATATCTTCTTTACCCGCCATATTCACCAACATCATTGTTTTTATTTCAATTTGGAGGACGCCGAGACTTCACACACCTTCCTTCGTCCTGATATTTAACCTTGCTGTATCAGACTTTGGAGTGGGACTAATTGTACAGCCAATTTTCATAGCATTTTTTGTCGTTTTCGACTATAATGATGTATTCCGGAAAGCTTTCCAAATTTATTCCTTGTATTTTGTCGGTGCTTCGACAATCTGCATGGCCGCTATCGCTGTTGATCGATGTCTCGCTGTAATGCTTCACATGAGATACCAAGCGATAGTTACAACAACAAGATCCGTTATTCTAACACTCTTGGGTTGGGTACTGAACACACTATTACTGGTATTGTTCGGTCTCATTGATTGGGAAACTTTCCATTATGTTTCAGTATTTCTTGTATTATTTTGTGTTATTTTAGTAGTCGTTTGCTATTACAAAATCTTCCGTATTGTTCGCAAACATCRTCGACAAATCATGGACCAAAGACAAGCAATTCATGCASCTGCGGTAAAACACGGAAAATCTCTGAAAAACATGTTTTATTTACATGGATTTTATGCTCTTTCATTTGTACCTTTAGTGGTAAACTTCTGCCTCAGTTCTATTCAAAGTCATTATCCTTATGACTTTTTCGATACTGCAGTAACATTTGCCATGTTAAACTCGACAGTCAACCCTTTCTTGTATTTTTGGCGAATGAAAGAACTGCGAAGGGCTGTTTTCAAAGTATGGAAGGAGAAAGCAATGGCATGCTCAGATATATTTCTTTGAGAAAAACGTTTCTCTGTGCTTGAGTATATCCTAGACATATAAGCTGCAGAATGTGAAACTTACCTACAGATTTCTCTCTGCTTTCATACGAGGCCTTTTTCAACTCAGTTGTGAATATTTGACATTCATTAAAGCATATTGCATGTTGACGGAGAAAAAAAGAAATCGGTGTAGTAAAATTGGAGTAAACGKTTGTATTGGTGCTACGATGATTCAATTTTCCACGAAGGATCCTTCAGAGCAATATGAAGGATCTGTCGTGCGATTTCCGTATATGGTTGTGCATGTATGATATGGACATCCATATATGGAAGACGTACAAGAGACTCTATTCTGGTCCTTAGTAGTTACTTTGTCGTTTCCGGCATAGTGAGTGGTCATTCACATTCAAGTGCGGCAATAGAATATCTCCCAAGCTGCGTCACTTTGTCAAAGAAAAAAAACAGGTGCAATGGCATCCTCTGACCGCTTTCAGTTCTTGATGATTAAACCCGTTGCTTTTAACCACTTTCCTACATAGAAACGACGGCTATTTTGAGCCGGGTGCGCGCAAGTCTTACGCTTTATATTAGCCTTTCTTAGTAAGTTATTTCACCTACTTTTTACGGTGTTATTAGACTTTCTTAGTAAGTTATTTCACCTACTTTTTTACGGTGTTAAACTTATCTTTTTACACAACTTTTTCTTTAGAAACACCGACGCAGCTCACACTAGTTTACCGCTAGTTCCCAGCATTTTTCTTATAATAGTTACCTATATATTATATACGATCAGCTGGTATGCCTAGGTAAGGTTGTCAGGTAGAACTGCGCATGCACGACCGAAAGGTAATATGGGTATTGATTACAGACGGTAATATTCGCTCATCAAACACCTCAATACTGTTGTTTTTATTGAATACACATCTTTATCATATAATTGTCTATGAAATACCTTTTTTATCTTATAATTATCTATGAAATACCAATATTTCTCCATTTCGTAAAATTGATATTTTCACTAGTGAAAATAACACAATCGAGGTTTCTCTATATAGTGGAAGAAAGAAAAACAAGTATTTTACTGACATAATTTGCTTTCATATGTAATTATATGATAAACAGAATATTACATAGTTGCTTGGAGATACGAATTTTATCTTCTCTTGATAGATCTTTTCAAAGCACGAAGATAAAATCCACATCTCCGCGCGCCCATGTAATAACCTCTATGTTCTCCATTATGTAAAGTTGTTATTTTCACTAGTGAAAATAAAACACATTCGAGGTTTCTCTTTATATTAGAAGTAAAAAAGGTATTTTACGACTTAATTTGCTTTGCACTCACTCGTCAGAGATCTTTTCAACATGTACACTTGAAGATAAAATCCGTATCTCCGTTTAATGTTTGCTTGTTTGTTTGTTTTGTTTTGTCAGTGTTTTTCTGGAGATTAATGAGTATAATTCATCAAAAACTGAATATCCACAATGACTTTTGGTCGTGCAATCGCCGTTCAGCACTGACATGAGATAGCTATATACTATTTCAACGAGATACACAAAACCGGTGTGAAGGAAAAATTGAATCGTGATGTCGAAATGAAAATATTGCTATTAAAGGTTAACAGATAAGATTTGATAGCTTTATTCTATACCACTGGTTTCTATAGAAAAGATTAGATTAAAAAAAAACAAAGACCATTCGCTGTATTATCTTTGGCTTTTTTTTTGAGCGAAGGAATTCCGTGAAACTTAACCACAAATATAAAATGAAACGCCTTGAGTTACTGAAAGTCCCACACACATCCACAGATACACAGTGAAATCATAATCGCGTGTCAAAAATGTAGTCTATTAGATAAATSGAAAACCACCGTCACAGTTTCTTGCCATGATAGTCACATGGCGGCATTTTTGTTTCCTTAATACGAACTATCTACCCTGCTTTCCCATGAAAAAAGAGTGCCGGAAAATGTACCAAATATCTTGATTATTGTGTTTTTTTCCTGGTGATTATTGTGTGTTTTTTTTTCCTGGTTTTAAGTATGATTTYAGTTCTATTCGACATGTCCAGGATAAGTAATTTTCTTTTGAGTGCGTGGGTTTTATGTGAGTGGAARCATACTGCGCCATACGACTGCATGAATGCATTTTGTTAGAGGAATAAACTCAGACCACACAAGGACACACGAAGCTGAAATTAAACTTTCCTCAATTATAGATATCACAGCGATATGTCATTTAATACACKGTACGGCGCGATAAATTTCCTATTCAATCGAATCTAAAAATATTGGAGCCCTGTGAGCCATATCTGACCGATTTCCCACATKTTAAAATTAATACGATTCAGTGGTATTTTCATAGTTCGTGTTTTTGATAAACAGCTATTAAAGCCAGTACTGAGAAATGGCATCCGATAATCGCCCCAACGATGCCAAAAATAGCAACAAAAGAATCAATAAAAAAGTCGTACCAAGCCATCCTCGAGTAGCAGATCTTCATGTGGAATAAAGCAGGGAAAATAAAAGCTAGGCACATTCCTGTAAAACTCCCCACCAAAGCCATGTATAACCCAAAGTGTGGAATAAGAACACCCACTAAGAGTGTAAATGAAATGATACACAGTCTTGCAACCAAAGCTTGTAAATAAGAGAGCTTGTCCTTYCCCTTGGCATCGCTGGGATTATCGATCTGGCCGCACGGGAATGAGATATTTTCCAGGATGTCGAATACCGTGTAAACTGGAATTGTGTACGATGTTATGGCAAGGAATAAAACTAGAAGATTGACGGTAATRTGGAGCGGTCCTTCGGGTAGATTATTCGTGATGACTTGATCAGTATTGTTCGTGAATGTGAGAAAACCAATGAAACCAAAGAACACTTTGACGAATGTCACTACAATGTACGTCAAATCCATGACACTGTTGAACTTTGATGGATGCTGCATGCTTCCTTCTATGGCAGGCATGTAGGGCTGGGATGAGTAGCTAACAACCACTATCCCTACCGCTGCACCAAAYTCCTTCAGAGCAAATGTAGGCATTGACGCCATGTCCCATCTTTGATGATGGCAGAAGCTGTAGACGAATACCATYAAATATATCGATTCACCGATGATAACTGTAATGAAACTAACCCAAGAAACATCTGATAGAGATTTWAGGAGTACGTTGGGTAGTAATGCTATAGCTGCCAGTGCCGTCCAGTCACTTTGAGACAAGCTCGTCGTTGGRAAGGTGGACGCAAGAATAGACCCACATAAAATCAACAAAAGTGTACAGTACGAAACCTGCTCAAATATTTGAGCMGCGTTWACCAGATGGTGCCCGTAGCGCGGGGCGAACGCTTCCCCGATTTCTACATAGCTATTTCGAACTCGGTACTTTTCRCCCTTTTCTGTGTACTCGTATAAACATTCCACGAGGCGTTTATTCGAGAAGTTTGAGATAAAAGCAACGGCTATGATGCTGAAAATGGAAGCGTAKCCACCGCTTTTGATGACATATGGCATGGCGAGTATGGCGACTCCCTGATTCGCGTTGAATATGTTCCAGAATGTCTGCAAGTACGATGTCTTCGTTTTATCCTCTTCTTCTTCTGCGAAAGCAAAATCCTTTTCGTCTTCGTCGTCGCTTTCATTTTTTACCAAGTTATAGTTGCCGAAGAGCYTTTTTTGAAGTAGGAGACGMAGTTCGACGCTCATCTTTTCGAGCTGCGGAAACCTTGCGAAGGCCGATGGCCCATCTTGGTCGGCCAAAGGAGAATCAAGTACTAATCCCAACTGATCCTCTGAAATACCACTCATTACGTCACGATAACCCACAAAGAGATCAAGACAGTGATGTTAAGATTAACTTGTGGGCTTAAACCGAGATCTTACTACAAGAAGGGGATGAAATGACTCGCTATGTACYCGACAATATCACCAAAGCAATCACAATGTCACTCAATCATTTTATTTCYCTGTTCATTAACCTGCTTTTGAAATTGATTTTTGCCCCAATTTTGAACCCACGTAAAAGTCAAAAAGTGATTAAATATTGTTTGAAAACATCTGGTTTGTTATTCATCAGGGCTTGTTGMTTGTATTTTAAAAGTAGAAGCTTTTATCGGTCGTTGACTTAATGGTAATATTTTATTAATGACTGSCGCTGTTTTACTTGTGGAGGCTCAACGCTCTTAAGCCTTTCGTAGCGCTTTGCCTAAAAACCGAAGTATTATCACCATTCAGGTGATCGAGAAGAGTACTTCAAAGAGTATTACAAAAGCCTCCTTTTCAAACAACTCGACCTGTCCAACCTCACACTTAATTTACCATTGCCTTGCTTTACGCTTTTCAAGTATTTTATTCTATACATTAAAGCAAGTCTTTCTCCTAGCAAAATGCAATTAACAGATATTAAATTCTTTTCACGAAAATAATTTATTTAACACTGCATTTAAAGATGTGAAGGTGGTGTAAATGGCGTGGCCATCAACGTGTAGGCATGAATAGATCGTTATTCAATCAAAAATCCCTATAACTTGCTATTATTTGCTTTGTTTRATCTTAATGGAAATCGTCAGTTTAGTATTTTAAATTATCGCTGAATATTCTAGTATTGATTTCTAAATTTGTGGCCACAAATGAAAACCGAAAAAAAAATCAGTCAGACTACGACGAGGACAAATTTCTCATGTTATTATTATTATTTATTTATTTTTTTTGAGACTCATTACGCCCTTGATCTCAATTTGTTAACAGCTGAAAAATCACCCAAACTATCGCTTTTAAAATCCAAAACGCTTTAGTTAAATCTATGTAAAAAGGGCTTGGAATTGAGAAGACAAGCATGCATCAGTCATTCATAATTAATCAAAATCAAACCTAGTAAATCAAGCTAAGATATAGAGAGAAGATTATGTCATTCAAACAGATCCTGCCAAAATACAAACATCGATTGATAGACGGATAGGAATTTAGTATTATTTACAATCTATGAAAAAGCTTAATAATTTTGCGTAAATTTACCCATTTTGATAATACAAATATACTCTATTTTTCACGATAGTCAGCGAGAAAGGTTTTAAAAGCGCTTTGTAATTTGTTTGTTTCGTAAATCAAGAATAATTAAGATGTTTTACTCCGCGCGCGTTTTAAACTCATTTTTGTTGCACAAAAATTTACAAAAGCTTATAAGATGAAGGTTCTGATTTTCATTACGCTACTTAAAGTCCACCTATATATTAGTCGCAAAAAAACATCGTCAAATACAAAATTCAGTAAACTGACATTTTACAGCTCAAACTTTACCAATAGAAGATTACAGCTACTATACTACCTCCTAAAACAAAGCTTTTTGGGGGGGTCGTTAAAATGTATATCCATTTTTTAATTTTGCTTCAGGAACATTGAAACTGCTTGTAATTTCTTTGAACCATTTGCACTCGTGCTTTGCTAATGGCGTTATTGAATTTGGTATAATAGTACGTATATTGAGTTCTTGGATCTAACATTTACCGAACTTTTAAGTTAAACTTTTAAGTTAAAAGGTTGTTCGTAATCCGGGCAGATTTCCAAAGCTGGTTTACGTTTTTGCCTAAACATTCCCTCGTTTCATGCGCGTCTGCAGGTCGAGGTTGTCAAATACTCAATTCATTTGTTTCTACTGTTAGTTAATCATCATTATCACCTTTGCTTTATTTGGAGTCGACACGTGTACAGCGGTCTCAATGTCAACTATAGCGCAGTTATACCCAATCTCGTACCCTGAGCCCGCACTTTTGCCATCCAGCGGAAGTCAATGATTGCAATATTTTTTCGATTCGTGATTGGTTGAAAATGACGCCAGCGCGCTATGTTTTCAAGTCTCCAGCGCGCGCTCATCTTGAAGGGGAAAAAAGATATAAAAGACTAGGAAAATCCATCCAGTGAAAGCACTCATCATATTTCATGCATTTTATTAGTAGATTTATAAAATTTCAATTTCTTTTTTATCAAATTTAGATTCTTCCTACTACATAATTAAATGTTTTCTGACTTGGTCTCTTTGTCTCTCTCTGCATGTAACAAGGGCCTGGTCACGAAAAGTTTGCCACGTTCGATATTGACACAGGTATACCATACATCTCATAGCGTATCGTCATAAAGAGTAACRATAGATTGTGATGGAATGAAGTATTTCTGCGATGACCTGAGCGTTAGCAGTTGCGCATGCTTAGTGGCTTCATACAGGTCCAGGTCAGCTGGGTCAGGGAATGGATTCAACGTTAACGTCTTCAGATGCAGAGAGACGTTGGTCAGTGGTATTTCTTTTCTTTGTTGGTAAATGGGAGGCAGTGGAAAGGCTGAAAAAAAAAACAAATAATATGCTTCACGGTTCCGTACGCCACCTTGAAAGGCAGTCGTGCATTTGAATTAAAGGGTCGTCACTGACCGGCATCCATTACGAGTCTTTGTTTATGTTTGAGATCAAAATACAACGGAAATGGATTGCGAATGAATGAAKATAAATACCGATTGATGACGGGTGACAATCATACACTTATGGCTACAATATATCACCAGTTGTGATTGTTCTCTGTGTAAAGGCAGTGTGCTAAGATGGTACAGGGCTATTTCGAAGCTATTTCGATGAAACTGTTAATACCCACCTAATGCCAACGACGTTTCTCGTTCTGGATGRCAATGGCTACAATGGGTTTCGCCAAGACGAGCTAGACTTCGTTTGCTATAAAGAGAAAAACAAAATTGCGTACTATTTAACAAAAAGATTCAAACTCCAGAAAAGGTGCATTTCGCTCGGGTCATTTATGCACTATTTCGTAGTCAAATGTTAATGCTTTCTGTTCCAGTTTTGAATAAAATACAGCGAATCTAAACCGAAGAGAACTATATATTAAGATGTAGGAGGTTAGGATTACGCGTCACGTCATCGCCGCCATATTGTCTCTACTTACCTATGAATCTTTGGTAAGATGAGGACAGTATTTCGAGAGTTATCAGTAGCTTGYTGCGGTGTTTTGGATCGCGCTCTTTCTCTGGCTCTCGCAAGCTCTGCTTCCATTTCCATCTCACAGAAGTAGTTGATGGCTTCAACAGGAGTTGCACTATCAGCAGCAAGTCTGCCCATGGATTCGATATCAAATTTGACTAAAAATAATCACAAAAATGAAAACTTCATTACTCCAACTGATAGTTGTTGCTTTTATATAGTCAATCGAAATCAATCAAATTCGGTTCATATGTCGTGCTATCGTCGTGCCGAAACATTGAAGCTTTTTCTTTAGTCAATCAAAATTCGGGACTTCACCGAGCCGGAAAATTATAATTATTTATGCAGCTTTTGACCGATGAAGTTCACATAGCTATAAAAATCGCAGTAACAGAAGCACTAATCTATTCTAA